CCGTGATGGTGCAAGGATTTCAGGGGAACTCACCGTAAGTCAAACATGATGCATGATGCGAGTCGTACATTCCTCCCTCAAAGGCCCAATTTCTTCAAAAATAAGCTCATACTACACATGAATGCACGTACTCACATGAGTCATAGGCTGGAGATCTTCGCTAGTGTTGATATGCGTCATAGTGTGTCTGATTCACGTTGGTCATGGTGATACCTCTTATGGTGCGCACTGCGCGTCACTTACTAGGACCAATTGTGTGCTAATGTCCTGCCGTCTCGTCAGAATTTTAATTCCTCTTACGAAAATGTTCCTTTGACGGGACGAACAAAACTGTAATTCCGAGCGATTTTCAATCTGATCAAATTTGACGGAGATTATGTAAATTGTCGTCAGCAGTCAGATTAGCCAAAGTCTTGTTATCTACCTACAGTCAGTCAAAAGGTCGTGCTACAGTCTCCGGAACCCGTCTGTGGGACTTGTACTTGGTTGAACTGAACTGCTGGACCTTCAGCTGCGCATCTTTTGGGCTATGTTCTGCTTGTGAACGAGACGGCGGAGAAGTGGGATTATTGGGCGAACGAGCTGCACGAGCCTGAGTAGCTTTGAGCCAAATTGGCCTCTGCACATAATTGGTGGTGTCTAAGTGACGCGCACCATATAATATGGAGCCATTCATCCGTTTCGATAAAGGATTTCCAACCTCTCTTTCATCCGCTGGTGACCTGGTCGCTCCTGAACTGACAAATTCCAGTATCTTGTTTAGATGCCGCCACCACAGCCTCGCACCCCAGCTGAAACGCCAGTTCATCATGAACTTTCACTTACTCGCAGACTAATTTTACTGTTTATGTTCTGTCTCGCCCAATTCTTAGATGCCTTCAGTAACTCAGCTCTCTTCTCCGCAATCCCTGTACTCGAGGTATCCATGGGTATGACTGAAAGTCAATCCACTTGGATCATGAGCGCATCCCAGTTGACCTTTGTATCTTTTCTGCTCGTCGTGCGTGGCACTGCGTGCTCATTTCATTGATTCTGACCTTGCACTTCAACGCTTTGTTTAGAGCGGCCGCATTAGCGACGTATACAACCCAAGTCAGTACCATGCCGCACCCGTCAGATAGCGACATTAATGGGCTCACAGAGACGGGCTTCGTTGGGGGTGTATTTGGTTTTGGTGTCATCTCGCTGTGCGCAGGATTTGTTGATGATACCATTCCGCTCATCATTCTTAGAGCGCTGACTGGGATAGGTAAACATTCCCGTCGGTCTGACGGTTTTGGCTGACGAAGATCGCTTCACAGCTTCTGCGATGACAATCCCCTCTGCCCTGGCACTCTTGGTCAACGTATTTCCCGAACCGCTTGAACAAGCTCGGGCAATAGGAATATTTGGAGGCTGCGCCAGCGTCGCTAGCTGTGAGAATCTCCCCTAGCTGATTACCCATGACCACCTTCATGGTCCCGTTCCATAGCCCTCGGTTTCCTGATTGCTGCAATGTTTGTCCAATGGGCATCTTACCATTGGGTGTTCTGGTTCGTAGCCATCGTGGCTGTGCCAGCGGCTCTGGCGTGTGCCTTCATCATACCGCCAGAAATTGCAAACACCAAAGACAATCTTGAGCATGCAGCAGCCAAATGGAAAAGCCTCGACTTACTCGGCGTGACCATCCTGACTGGTATGAATTTTCAGCATACTCGTCTTCGCATCCCTCACGAGCTTCGACAGTTGCCTTGATTTTGTTCAACTTCGCTGTGACATCCGGCCCCACTGATGGCTGGGCATCTGCAGCGGTCCTTGTCCCGCTCATCATATCAATCATGATGGTTATCGGGTTTTTCTACTGGGAAACACGCATACACGTGAATATAGCTGCAATGTATGTCATCAGGGATGCTCGCACCTACTACCACTAATCATCGGCTGATGTTGTACCAGACCACCCCGGACATGGTTTTACCCCAATTTCTCGATTCTTTTTGCCGTGGCGCTCTTGCCATTCTTTTGGTTGTTTACAGTGTTCCTGATCTTTACCACCCTGTGGCAAAACGTATTTGAGTGGTCAGCAATATCATCGGCTGTGCACATGTAAGGTCTCGACTGTCACTCCATGCTTCCCGTCATTCAGACTGTTTTAACTTACCAGGCTCCCGATCGGTGTCGCAGCTTTCGTTATGAGTTTCACCGGATCGCTCTCTCGGATCTTCAGTCCGAAATGGATTATTCTGACAGGCCTGTCTTTTTGCATGGTCGCGACCGTATTGATGGCGCTCGGCGGGGGAAAACCTGAGGACTATTGGCCATACATATTCCCAGCTTTTTCTCTAGGGAGCGCAGGGATCATGCTGACGTATACGCATACAAAGTAAGTCCAAATTAGAACTGAGCGCTGCAAAGTCATGGTTTCACTGACACGTTCCAATCGCTGTCATTACAGCATCGCTATATTTCAAGCCGCACCTTCGTCCATGGCAGGCACAGTTGGTGCCATCTTTAACGGCGCTCTTCTATTCGGATCAGCAATTGGTCTCGCTGTTATCAGCTCAATAGAGACATCCGTGGAGGCCAACCATGGGGGCTCGCATGAGTATAAAGGACGAGCCGCAGTATTTTGGTTCCTCTTGGCAGTTATCTCTATTCTGTTCATTTCAGTATCAATATTCTATGACCGCAGTACGGACCACACACCCCAACCGGAACACGGCGACCCCGGACATCCTGCTCCACGGAGCACGGACTCTGACACAAAGCTCGACGACGCGAACGTGACCATGATCAAAAAAGCTGACCTAGTGAATCTGCCGGCGTAGGTTCTTTTTGATGACTGTTCCTTTAAACGACCATTTTATTTGATGACATATTTCTTTTTTACTATTTTCCCGTTCCCGACGACTTGCAAGGCAGATTTTTTTGATTTCATTATTAGAGGTAGGGTAGACTTCATGCTGTATTTTTTGTTAGGCCCGCTACCTATCTGACCATGGGTATATCAATAGACTGTATCGTACATTTGTGACAGCCATACGATTGATGTACTAATCAGATCACAGATAGGATTTGACGGTTGACCGGGTTGAATACTGGATGAAAACGGGTGACCAAGATTTCCTTTCAAATGTTCTGCCGTGATTGGTTAATGTAAATTGCACGATTGATTACTTAATTTGGCCACCCGAAGTAAGTACTACCGTTAGTGAGCAGGTTCTCTTGATTCACACAAGATGTCTAATACAACACACGAACCCCAGACATTCTCTGCTGAATCGTACTTTGAAACACAATCACGACCTCCTTCACTCGACGTCGACATCCAGGGCGTTCACGAATTTATCCAACGGCAACGACAGGCTAACCGATCCGTCGTGCTTGTAACGGTGAGAGTCATTATCACAGATGCTCGCGTCATGCACTCTGAACTCGAATCAGAGCGGAGGGACCACCGTACCGCTAGAGCTCAATGTGTAAGAACGAGCAACCACCCACAGCCGCACAGGGTCACTGACCTCATGTTCACTAAATGTGCAGCGTCCGCTTCCTCGATAACTTCAGCGCCGGTACGTCCCAATGTTCTTTTCATTATATTCTTCTAACCATCATTCATGTAGGTACCCGAGGTGCAACATCTGCCGAATATTTCCTCAAAGCTGGTTATGCCGTTATATTCATGCATCGCCAGTTCAGCCTGCAACCTTTTAGTCGACATTATTCCCACTCGACTAACCCATTCCTCAACTTTCTCGAGATTGACGCTGCATTACCGTCATCGTCGACTATTGACTCGGCGTTCCCGTACTCACATGACCCTCCACCTACGACACCGATGCCGCAAATTACTGTAACCACTGATGAACGCGTCAAACTCTTTTCTGTACTCCGTGCATACAAAGCAGTGCATGCCCAAGGAACCCTACACATGGTCTCATTCGTTTCCGTGAACGAATATCTTTGGTTACTGCGCGCAGTCAGCAGGGAGATGAGCATCCTAGGACGAAAGGCGATGTATTATCTTGCTGCCGCTGTCAGTGATTTCTTCTTACCGCAGCAGAGATTGGTAAGTGATCTCACCCTGTCTCGCAAAACGATGTCAATAATGGCCACGGCCAGTCGGAACATAAGATACAATCAGGAAAGGGCAATCTGTCCATAGAAATGGATCAGGTACCGAAGATCTTAAAGCCGCTTGTGTCAGAATGGAACCCAGAGGGGTTCATTGTCTCCTTCAAGGTAAACTCGCCTCACTTTTTATGCTGTCTTTTTGACCAACATATTTTCCCAGCTCGAGACTGACGAGACGATTCTGATACCGAAAGCCCAACAGGCGCTTGAGCGTTATGGGCACCAGGTGGTGATCGGAAACGATCTCCATAATCGTAAGTATCGGGTTGTGTTGATATCTCCCGTAGCGCAGGCAGACGCTACAAAGCAACCGGACGGAGTCGTCGTATCTCAACCGAAATATAAAGAATTTTGGATAGAAATTGATTCGCATCAACCATCCAACCATCCCAAAGAAATAGAGGAAGATATCGTTGAAGAATTGCTTAAACGGCACAATGCGTGGATCGAGGGTTCATGAGCAGGCAGGGGTCCGTTGTATGTAATGATATATACTAGAATTATTGTCGAGGCATGTGCAAAAGTCAGGGTTTTCCTCATTTTAGCAAGACTCCATCCGACTACTGTGCAGTATTCTATGTTCTAACCTATATTACCACTCGTTGAGGCAGAACGAAAAAATGATCTGAGCCAGGCTCGAACTGGCGACCTTCTGTGTGTTAGACAGATGCGATAACCAACTACGCCATCAGACCGATGGAAGGATTCAAATAGTAGAGGCCTATTATAACCATGTCGTTGGCAGATATATTTGGCCTTGAAGTGTTCCTGCAAAAGGATGGACCGCCTCGGCTGGTACCGAGGTTCTTGATGCCCTCGTCAGTAAACCATCCATCATGATATCGTAGTAGAGGTAGCCGATGCACTCTTCGCTCACAGAAACCAAGCACCATTGCGCACATTTGAGATCGTGGGTTCCTGCGTGCTGATACATGTATGAAGTTTATGGATCATCTACAAGCAGATTTGTAGTGCGAACTCTGCAATATCAAGCTATCCACCACGCCAAGCCACCAGACTAGCAATGCCACCTCGCTTTACAATCAACACCGAATAAGCCACGCGATATGACATGACAGTGCACGGCTTCAGGCTGCAGGTGACATGTCCGACAGGGGAATAGACACGAGGGGATCAAACTCATGCACGGTATTGTCGATTTGCCAGAGATGGAGGTGCATCCGCGTGGCGAGGATTGCAAGGATGAAAACCTCGAAACTTTACGAGGGTATACTCAGTAAGAATCCACGAAAGAAGATGAAGTGCATACTCTTCGAGGAAGGAGTGGTATGGGGACTAGGAGTGTAAGACATCAGTGATTCCATTAAATTGAACGGTATCAGCAGGGTTAAAGTTTTACGCACATTGGGAAATATCACTGGCACAAGGACGTTCAAGGCCGAGAAAACTTTCCGAACAATGATTATCACTGATGAGCATGGACGCATATGTAGGTGACTCACACAGACCGCATGCGTAGTAGAATATATTATGCTTCACCAAGGTAGCATATAGAGGGTATCTAGTCGGCCGCCAGTTCCGTATGGCACGTATGAGTGTGAGGGAGACCAGTCCTGGGGAAAGCATTGGTTAGCGTGCATTTATGATCTATGTCGGTTCCCGGCGACATGTACCCAGTTGAAAGACAAACAAGAGAATGAACGGCAGGTATAATTGGACACTGCTCGAAGTCCGGTAACAACCTGTGATGCCTGGGATGCCCGGGATCGCGCTAGTTGAAACTGTGGGAGTGGAGTGAATACATGCGAATGCTAGTGGGGGAAGATGAGAGCACAGACAATATTGAGAAGTGGCAATAGCACTAAACCAGATGCCGGTGAATGATACAATGATGGCCTGACCAAGTTAGCGATCACAAGCTTGGGTGTGGTGAGGGCACGAGACTCACAAAAAAGGTCGACAGCATAGCTACGAGTACGATTCTATTGTTGCTCCAGAGTGCATATGTTCTGAGCACAAAAAAGCCTGAGGGAATTGCATGAGGAGCACGTTTGTATCGCGAGGAAGGAGGAATACATTCAGAGCAAGTGAGTGATATCACTGCAAAACCTAAGTGGAAATAATAGCGCTCAGTAAGAACGTGCGTGTAGCATGTGCCATACACGTACATGAGTAAATAGTGATGAACATCTTGCATGCCTAGCCAGGTCATACAGTAAGTGTCGTCATCAGTGGGGGTCTGCTGCACGTTCACATACCTTGGGGTTCTCATTCGGTGTCAAGGTCACTAACCACAGCATGTCAATTCAGTATCGGGGGATGTGTGCTGGAAACGAACGCACGACATATGTCCGCAGCGATGAGGAAAAAGGGTACATATCGTGCAGTGACGTAGAGGCATTTTACCTTGGTCCAGCGCGACCGAAGTAGGAATGTCCACTTTGAACAGATTATTTCAATATCGAAAGCAATGCATCCCGCGGAACAAGCACATTACTTGCCTCGTCGTGAAGTGAACAAATATAGTCATAGGTCTGGATTAAGAGGTTAACAGGTTTGATGGCGGATGGGAATAGATTGGGACAAGCGTACCCAGAATGTAATCAATGCCGCTGAGTCGTCACATTAGAGTCAGAACGAATATATTCGGACAGCACGCACTGCATATGTACTAGTGGCCACCCATGGTATATCAGTTATGATCTTGCTATTGATATTAAGGAAGCGACAAACCGCCAAGTACTGCAAAATCCTGGTTGCTGCAACATCGTCGGCCGAATACTCCATCTACATTCGTTTGAGAGGTGGCTTAAGAAGATGGGTTTTACGCCCACAGCATGCACCTTGCTATCTCTTATGAGTAACTCGGAACTAGCCAGGAAGCGATCAACGTGGTGGCGGTAGTGAGGCGCAAACGCAAAACACACTACTATATATGGTTAGGTTGAATCAACTCAGAAGGCGCCACTTACATTAATTCGTACTTGGAGAGACCTGGCACCATTTCCGGACCCCTGTTACGAATTGCATAGGCTCATACCAGAAACTAGCATGGAATTAGTTCGAAAGACTAACGGAAAACAGAAGGTTATTCGAAATGTCAAGGCGCTCGGGGAATAAAAGACGACCGTGGAAGGAACCATGCACCGATCAAGAAATGATCGTGGATGATCTTGATAAGGTCCCAAGCTCCTCCTATCCTCCTGTCCGAGTGAAAGATATCTCTTTTAAGCGCACCGGAGCCTTCGGATCCGAGGACATATCATTTCCGGCAATACTGCGTGCGCCGTGACTCCACGAAAACGGCAAACTGTTTTCTCAGTCTTGTGTGTGCAGTGAAGGTGTTTATAAGTTGATAGGAGAGGACGTTGCGAGCAGCTTGGCATCGTCAGAAGTATGGGCAGTATCAGAATATTGCGATGGATCCCACAGGTATGACTGCTGCCCTGATATGGCTTCTTTTTGATGGATGCGCGATGGACCTGTGTGGAGTTCCAGCGAAGCCGTTAGCTTATTTCCGTCACGGTCTACATAGCCCTCCGCGAGACACATCCAGCGAATATGCTGCCAACGCTTGGCATGTGACACCCCGGTAGCACTCACATTATTGCTCTGGACTCGAGGGCTCGCAAGTTGTACCATACGCTGGGCGGCACGCACTTTCAGTCAATATGACGGCTGCGGGCTTGGATTAAACTCCCGTGTGTACCGCTCAGGTGTATAAACCTAACTTCGCGTCGGTCTCTACGTAGAATTGCGGCTACAGGTTCAACAAGGATAGTTGGAAATTCGGAATCCGCCGAACATCATATGTGAGTTTGAAATTGATTCCGAGTTTACCTGGCAACAGCTCCGCAAAGTGGCAAGATTGAACGGCGCATCTACCATGGTCCAACAATACATACGACCCTACTACAAACGCCCTTGACAATTTCCCAGGTCTCTTCTGAACCCTCCAGGAATTCCTTGGATCTCGCATGCCGGAAAGTCAGGGCTTCTGCGAAGACGCTGTCGTTATTGTTCACACGTTAGAGTCTTTGATTATAATCATTGGGCTTAATCACAAGTTAAACGTTTGTCAAAACATCTCACCAGATCGCACCCCATGACAAAGACAGTTTCTATAAGTCAAGTAAGCACATCTCAATTTTTACAACCAGTATATCGTACAGTTTACAGGTGACATGTCGGACATAGAAATACACACGAGGGCCTCAGAGCCATTCGCGTGCCGGTTCATATGCCAGAGATGGAGGTGCATGCGCGTGGCGAGCATTGCAAGGATCAAAACCTCCAAACTGTATATTTGTATTGGGAGTGTTGTCAGTGGGAATTCACAACAGAATTTGGAGGTGCATACCTTTCGGGGACGAAGTAGGATATGGACTGGGTGTGCGCAACATCAATGAGTAATCATACTGAAGAGGACTATTCACGCACGTAGTCAAGCAGCTTTGGAACAAGGATGTTTATGGCCGAGAGGACTTTCGAAAAGTTAATCATCACCGATGAGCACGAAAACATAGGAGTTCTGGCTCACGCAGACCGCATGCATAGTAGAATATGTTATGCTTCAGCAAGATCGCGTACAGAGGGCCTTGGGCCGACCGCCAACTCTGTACGACACGCACGAGCGTGAGGGATACCAATACTGAGGGATAGCATTAGTCAGCGCGTGTCTGCAACGTGCAGTCCAGTTTCCGGCTGCATACCCAGTTGGAACACGAGCAAGACAATAAACTGCATGAAGAATGAGAAACTACCAGAGCTCCGGTGACAACCTGTGATGTCTGGGATTACGCTATTCGTTACTGTGAATTGAAGATAACATGGGCGGATACCAGTAGGGAGGATGGGAGCACAAACCATGTGAGGTGGCAACAGTAGTCAACCAAATGCCAATAGCCTGACTCATTCATCAACCATGAGATCAGGTGTGCTGATGGCATAGGACTCACAAAAATGGTGGACAGTATGGCTATGAGTATGATTCTATTGTTGTTCCAAAGCGCACATGTTCTGAGCACAAACAAGCCTGAATGAATCAGATTAGAAGCACGTGTGTCGGAGGAAAGAAATATACATTCAGAGCAAGCGAGTGATATAAGTCTGAGACCTGTGAGAGTAAAGAGCAACACTCCGTGCATCAAATACCGTGGACGTACATGCGTAAATGTTGCTTAATATCAGGCATTGCTGGTGAGATATACAGTAAGCATCATTCATCATTGGGTAAGTGTGCTACACGTTCACATACATCGCGGTCCTCGTTCCCTGAGAAGTTCACTGAGTACAACATGTTAATTCATTAAATCGGAGGGTTGTATGCTGGGAATGAACGTACTATATAGGTCCGCGGCGACGATGAAAAAGGGGACATATCGTGTAACGATATAAAGGACTTTTACCTTGGTAAGGCGTGACCGAAGCAGGAATGTCCACTTGAATAATGTATTACCAGTATCAAAGCCACGTACTAACGGAAGAAGGGCATTACTCACCTCTTCGTGAAGTGAACAAATATAGTCATAGGTCTGGATAAACAGGTTTAACTGCAGACGTAAATAGATCAGGATAAACTGACCCAGAATGTCGCCGCTATCAACGCTGAGCTGTCGAGTTAGAACGAGCAACATGCAATTCAGGCAGCACGCACTGCATATGTACTGGAGGCCACATATGATAAATTCATTATCATCTTGCTATCATGTCAAGACAGCGACGCACCGCTAAGGGCTGCAGACTTCTGGCCGTTGTGATGTAGACCGATGGATGTTCCATCTGAATTGGTTCGAGGGGGAAAATAGTCGGGTTTCGCGCGCATATTCGTCCACCTCCTTATATACTAAATAAGCTGAGAACCACATCCAGACTGGGGTATATGCGGGGATACTGCTGGTGAGGATGATCATATCATCATCGTGATGGAGCGTTTCATTGGCTGACTTATAGTCGATGTGGTCACAACTGCACCAGGTTGTGCACAACTCGATGAAAGTTACAGTTGGTGCCAGAAACATCGGCAGTTTCAGTGATAACATAACAATGAAACCTTTATTCAGATGTAACATGCCCAATGAGACAGATGATTGGACATAATTGATTATCAAAGTTGATTCTGACACTTACATGTACTCATTGTGCTGATTCTTGACCCGCTTGAAGTTCGGAACACTGTGATCAGGCCTTGAAACACAGTCACCTCGGAGAGGACTGTAACTAGTGACTTGTGTCGTGATTATCCAACGAATGTCGTGCCGGTGAAAGCATGTTATATACATGCTACATTCATGTATCAGGTCGACTAGCCGGTGAGGAGACCAGGAACGGAGAAGGCTCTCCTAAAGGGGCGTATTAGAAGACGTAACTGTGGATCATGTGAGGTCGAATTCTGAATCGGAACGCATTGTGATCGGGGGTCTCTTCACGATTTTGGGTATCTACAAACCGTTCATGTGTAGAGTCGGCTCTGCAATATCAAGATTGGATAGTACGTACCAAGTAGTGGCAAGCAGAGCTACCAGTGGTGCTCGAACCGATTCCTGACGAAGTGCACTTGAAGTCACATTTGCTTCGGGTTATTTGGGCGTCTGGATGAGAACATACAATCTTCGTTGTCGCACCAGTCAAACATCGTACTTGAAAAGACCGTGTCGTCCGGGAACGCGGAGAGAATGCTTCGTTTGCGTTACAATGCTTTGAAAGCCCGAGCAAAGATGTTGGCTTTCCTAGACGACTCAGAGCAATACCCATGGGTATATCCTTCAAGACTGGTGTGATTGTATTATTAGGCGCAAGACCGTCGACCATTGTAAGCATCAGAAATATCTCTGGAATGCCGGCGGCCGGCTTTGTCAACTAGTATGCACTGGTCATGCGAGGTGTTCGGGATGCACAGTCTGCCTATCGGAGTGGTGCTTGGATCAAGCCGTAGCTAAATTTGAGTCGGAATTGGACGCATCGATGTAGTGGGTCTAACCAAAGTCCAACCAAAGGCACTAGCTTACTATTGCGATCGGACAAAGTGGTCCAAGTATTGCTCAGCATGCCCGATTTGTACTTATACTTCACAAGGACTGGCCATGTAGCAGTGTCATAGTTGTGACAAGTTTTAAAAATCGACTACACATGAAGAATCCGTGTCCGTCTGTCCACTGAACCTTAGTCCCATCATCGTCGTGCTCGCCGTCATCGTTATTGTCGCCACCGTCGTAGTTACTCACGCGTTCATATCCGAATACATAGCCTCTTGTGATACCCTAGACGCCTCAGGCTGCACAGCAAGCTCTCACCACTATGTCCAACTCACCTCCACCCGTAAACAATTCCTATGACCCTACAAACGCTCTCGACGACATCCCAGGTCTTCACTGGGCCCTCCATGAGTTCCTTCAATCTCGCATGCACGAAAGCGAACGATTCTGCGAGCAAAGCGATCCAGAAAAGTACGTACTTCCGTCTCCATCACTCCCACAAGAGAGGCTGAGATCAATGCAGACAGAGATTGTATTTTGCGACTGGATTTGGGCTTATTCAATGTGTGAAGGGTCTCATGTCTTTTGAGGATAAGGTTCGTGTTGTGATGTGCTACTAGTACTCATAAACTAATATTAACTCATAAGGATCTCTTGGCTGCTATCAACCATACCAAGCGCGGCATCGCTGTAGCTTCCGCACATCGCAAACGCCCAGCCAGCTTCGCAGGTCGTCTTGCAGGGTATATCGTTCCCGCATTCAGTACTAGCGGTACAGAATGGATCGCCGGTATGACGCCTGTGGAACGTCATGCTGAACTCGTCTATGCAGAGAGTCTCTATCAAAAGGTGCGTCGACTGGTAAAACCGCGTGTCTTGGGTGGTGTACGCGTTTTGGAGGGTTAGCTGATGTTGCAATAGAGTCTTCTTGGGATAGTCTATTCAGGCGATTGGTTAGCGTTTATCCGTGAGGTGTACGTGCTCCGTCATTTATCCCTCTTTTCTCGCTAATACCTAAGTACCGCGAACGCCCAGACTCAACATGCGCACCACTATTTCCATATATCGTCAACTGGGTAAATGGATCGAGACAGTCGACGCGGCATACGCTCTCGCCCACCCCGAATTACTAGCTGCCATCTCAACACCCGAAACAGGAGCGAATGTCGAAGAAACGCCACCACAGTCAAGTAGCACGAGTTTTGCAAGCGCTAACTCATCCTCCATCGCAGATTCGCCTGCCCCTTCACCCAAACACACATCTACACAAGATACCGCCTCCCCACCATCCATCACACACCTATACCTCCCCTGCCCATCTATAGACCCTCATTTCCGATCTGGTGTATACCTAGGTCTCGGTATGTCTCATCTCGTGCTCAGTATGATGCCGGGAAAACTCCTCGCTCTGGTGGAGTTGTTTGGATATAAGGGCGATAGGAAATTTGGGTTGGAGTTGTTGGAGAGGGCTGGGGGGTGGGGTGCGAATGGGAAAGTGGTCGAGAAGGGTGAGTGGTTCCGGTCCCTGATCATGTTGTGATATTATGAATTGGGAGCAATAAGTACTGATATGCTCGCCTACAGAGGCAGAAGGGGTCCGACGTGCGATCTGCGATATGTCGCTACTCATCTTCCACCTCGTCCTCTCGGCGTTCACGTTTGAAGGCGTCGATGTGCGTAAGGCTACGAGAATATTGGAGTGGAATCTGAAGAGGTATCCGAATGGTGCGTGTTCTGTTTTGGGAGGTTGTGTGGTCTGATGAGTGTTTGTGTTTTCTCTCTCTTTCTCCCCTTTCCTGTCCGATACTCCAACCTCCTCTTCGATCCCATACCAACACCAAATAGGCGTCTTCTTCCTCTTTGGCGCAGGCCGCCTTGCCCTCGTTCGTTCCCAACCCTCAAAAGCTCTCACCTACTACGCACGCGCTGCCCAAGCTCAATCACAGTATCGGAATTTACACCATATTTCGTGGTGGGAGAGTGCGGTTGCTTGTTTGGGGCTTTGGAGGTGCGTGTTCTTTTTGGTACAGGGATGATGGGTATGTGGGCGATACTGATATTGGTCTTGTGCAGAGTTGCGGACAGTAGATTGTGGTGGGGAAAACTTGGAGGCGAGGCTACGGTGGGTTTCTATTTCCCCTCTTGCGTGTCTGTGTTCATTTTTTCCCATCCCTCGGTTATCACCACCTCGGTGCACTTAGTGGTCCAAAGCGACATATACATACGGCGAAGCAGCATGCCTAGCCACGCTCGGCAAACACGCAGAAGCGAAGAAGCTTATGGAACGCGTTCAGGGGCTGAGGCAGAAAATCGCAGGGAAGAGCATTCCTATCGAGGTACGTCCTTGTTTGATGTCTCCTCCTCCCTTTCATCTCGCTATCCACCTCAAAACAACTCAATGCTAACCAAATATCCAGAAATTCGTCGCCCGCAAAGCCCGTAAATATCTAGCCCAATCCGACACACTTCTCCTCCCAGCCCTCGAGCTAGCTTATGTATTCCATGCGATTGCGCATGCACCCAGGGAGGTTATTGCGAGGGAGATGATTCCTGCTGTTGGTGAAGCTTTGGGAGTGCTGGGGTTAGTGCTTTCATCTGAGAGCGAGGGTGGTGCCAAGGCAAGTGGGGCCAAGACAGGCAAGGACAAGAAGCTGGAGTCGCGGAGTGGGTATTGGGATGACGTTTGTCTTGCGCGTTTCTTGGAGGGCGTGTGTTGGCGATTTGTTGCGTATCCGGTGCGTTTGCCTTTTTTGTGGTAGCTTTCGTGTTTGTGCCTTTGGGGTCTTCCTCTTCGCTCTGGGAGTCTATCCTTGTTGACACACATCCCTCTCGTTACAGGACCCGGATGCTGAACTCGAGCCTGATGAAAAAATCCCTGTCTCACCAGAGGATGCGCGCACGTACTCAGAGCGCGCGTTCCGCGCTGTCTTCGAGCACGGACCTGACATCGAGTTGGACCATTATATCGTGTATTACGCACGTGAGTCGATCTTGTTCTGTCATTCGGTGAGAAATCGACGACACTTTTATCATAGATTTCGAGTATGGGAGGCTGCTAGCGCGATCAGGCGACAAGGACGGTGCGAGGACGCATTTTAATCTTGTTTTGTCTGGAAAGCCGCTTGAGGTGAATGCTGCGGGACGAAAGGTACGTACGGATACGTTTCGTCGATAGTGCTGTTTAATCATGTCGCTGATGTATGTCACTTTTTCAGGGTAAATACAGTTTAGAGGTACGAAAATAGGAGTAAACGAATGTGACTGACACTTACGCTTTTATCATTACAGAACGCACTTCACGTGAGGACGAACGCGGCGCTAGAAGCATTAGACCAGAACCGACTGTTGTGATGCCCAGGGCGACGGACCCAGTTCTGAAGAGATATATATTCGTATATCTATCGATACGCGCTGACTTTCCGTGTGTTTTCTGCTTGCTTACTATTGGGCGATACCTGTATACCTACTTATGTATTATTTGTTACGCCTGATGTCTAGCTGAGCTGGATACAACCTATGACTGTATCTTTGAACATTTACTGACCCATCATACATCCACACCTACTGAAACCACTAGTATGTCGAACACTCTGAGCTTGCAAGGTGATATGGGAAGCAGTGGAATGAGCTTAAGCGGTGAGACGAGGAGAGTAGTTGTTATTGTTGATGTACGTTAACCTACAGGACGTTCTATTCCTGGCTGATCAACCGAAGTATGCATCGATATGATATGGAAGTTTCAAGGCAATTAAAATTAAATATCAGCTAGTCCTTAATTGGTTGTCGGGCCCGAGTATTTTTAAAATAGAGACACCGAATCGAATCATGTTCCCGTTCTTCGCCATGTACAGTCTGTGATGGCAAAGGAAGATGGTGGAATATTAATTCCTGTATGAAATCCACATGGTTACCTATATGAAAGAACCCACATGTCTGTGCCATGCGGACTGCACTTCTGCCAATTCTGCCAGAAGAATCACCTCTGCCCAGGGCGGTCACCAGTTACCACTTGGGAAGATTTTCCAAATTTAGGTACTAGGCTGATGTCGAGTACGTACTCACTCTGCACTGCACCTCCACATCAATGTCAGTGTCCGGACTTCAGATCGTTTGGTATAGCTCACCTAGCTATAGGGTTGCGACTACCAGTACGAACTTAATATTGCGGCGAACTCGAAGACCATGACGAATGTGGACGGTCAAGCTGTGAATCGTAATTACGTGTAGTATTTAAAGTGAATCTTGATCCTGATAGCTTATCCGAAGCCGCCTCGGGCACATCTTTTTCATACCCGATCCTGCCGCTGCGGCACAACTCCAGTTAGTAGAAATGCCTGCCTTGCGTGTATCATGATGGGCCACACGTTCCATTCCCTCTCACCCCCAGGCCATTTCTCCTCTCAAGATGACTCCCTCTGTGTTTGAAGCTAGTCAGCTTCGTGAGTCCCTCTATGTTTTTTGTACCGCCTTTCAGCTGAGTGTCTCTAGCTAACCAAAATCGCGTTGGCCCGTACACCTATGTGCCTACAGAGTGGATATGTATCCTGGTGAGTTGTCTTGTCCAGACGTCTCGCATCTACCTTCAAATCGCTCCCTTAGTTCCTAGTGTTATACAGTATTTCGACTAGTATGTTTTTTTTTACTATCGACAGTGCACGATCATGACTCCATGCTTTCAGTCATCCACTTGAGCCAAGCACTCAAGTTTAGACTCTGGTGGATGCTTCCAACGGCGACTTTTGCTGGTGTTCTCGAAATACTAGGATGGAGTGCCAGGCTATGGTCTAGCCACAGTCCCAAGCTTCTGACGCCTTATGAGATGCAGTACGTGTTCATCTAGAAGTGCCTATTCGCACGACTGCTCAACCGTTTCCACTGCAGGCTTGTTGGCACTATCATCGCACCTACTCCCCTTGTTGCTGCCAACTTCATCATCCTTGGCAAGATAATCAACCAAGTCGGACCCCAGTACAGCCGTCTAACCCCCAAGCTATGTTAGTGTTGCCCTGATGTTCCTGGCAGTTCAGTTACTGATCTAGTGCAGATACCATCATTTTCTGTTGCTTCGTTAGTAGTTATACATTCAAGCTGTGTTCGCTGTTCATATCTTCCTAACTCCTAGGATGTTATCTGTTTGATTGTACAAGCTTTCGGAGGCGCATCCGCCGCGCACGCCGTTAGCCAGGATACAAGTGCTGCTATGGTATGTAACATCATCCGTTATTTCGTGTAACGATCTCATCATAGAGATAGGGCGCGAACATCATGCTAGGAGGAATTGCGGCTCAGCTCTGTGCGTGATAAGGGTCTCAATTCTCTGGCTCACAATCCTTACCTTTGCTCTCTAGTTGCCATCGTGGTCTATGTCACTTTGGCATCCGAATTTTTCTTGCGTTTGAAATTTAATTCACCCTTCCGCCACGTTGAGCAGCCCCGCGTATTGGAGAAAGGTCAAAGTGCTGTGAGCAAGAACTTGCGAGTTCTGATCTGTGCCATGGCATTCTGCACTCTCTGCATCTTCATTCGGTGAGTGCCCAAGATGTCTTATCAAGGGTCATTGATATACTCAATTCATCCTTAGTTCTATTTACCGTACTGTAGAGCTCGCCGGTGGGTGGTTCGGGCCGGTGATTACCACTCAACACTACTTCGGTACGTTATCATCCGTTTTCAGCAGGAATAAGCTTATAATATACTTTATTATCGATAGATTGGCTCGATGGAGCCATGGTCACTCTCGCTATCTACAGTCTCAATTTCTTTCACCCAGGTATCTGGCTGAACAAGGAAAACCCAACTGGTCATGATTTAGAACAAGCAGCCGATGAAGAAGAAGAAGCTGAGGAAGAAGCTGCGGCTTAGGTTTTAACGATTACATGCTTATATCGGTTCTGCTCGCCATTTATCTATCGGCTTGTTATCACTTCTCGGATTACTCTTACTTGGACGGTTATTGGCATGTTACCTTACAGCGATGTCTGTTTTTGCACCGCTTATCCCTACTCAATGATGTAGATAAACGCATTGTTGACGTTCTATACCCATCGTTTTCACTGAAGCTGAAGCGCTAAGTTTAAAGTTAATTGTATGTGGCTGTGCCCCGAAGAGATGATGTCATCTTCGGTACTTCTGAAACTTCCGCTCATCCATGTCGCCGCCTTGCATATCCGCTAGCAGTCATGTTTTATTATACTCTTCTCGACTATTTTCACAACTACTGTCACTCAAAAAGCCAAGTGAAGATCCACATTTCATCCATTTATCATTTTACCATGCTCCGTAACTTCATCAAGAGCATTGTCAACACATCGTTGAGTTGCGCAGAAAAGCTGCGTGATAGAAAAAAGGTGAGTCATTGAACTCTTGGTTATCGCAAACTTCTTATCCTCGCTAGTTCGGCGTTCATGGCGATCTCCACAGTCGTCCGTGCGGGGGGACCGTGCTATTGGTCTCTCCTATACCACTTCCCACCCCGCCTGATCACTTCTCAAACACCGACACTCCTCTATCCTCGATTATAGATACGGAGGATGCTGTTTGTCGTGGACAAATGCCCTCTCGGATTGGAACACCCACCCTCGAAGGTATGCCCGATGAAATACAATGCCATATCCTCGGGTTTCTCTCATATAATGAAATTATACGATGCTCTTTGGTGAGTCATCTACTCATTCCCATCCTTCGAACTAATGTACTGATCAGCCCTTTACAGACCTGCCTGACACTATACAACACAGTCAAAGGCTCTGTTGAGCTGCAGTACATCATCGAACTCGGTGCTCAACGGTTGATCGAAGTACATCCGCGGTCGCCTACCACCTCTCTAGCAGACTGCTTGAGCATCCTCAGAAAAAAGGCAAACGCGTGGAACAATTTCAAGCCCATTGCTACCGATGCGTTTCGCGTCAAGACCTTGTTCGACTTAAACTCGGTCGTTCATCGAAACATCATCTCCTGTACGCCGTCGGTGCACGTCGATGCTGCGTCCAACACTGTGGATATCAAGACCAACAGCACGTGTACCGCCAAAGTCGTGATGAATCCCAATCCGGTTCCTCATACGTACAGGTACATGGACGAGTCTCAAGATATCGAGGTCATCATTACATTTCCGATCGATGTCGACTCTAATGGCTTCAAGTACCGAGTATCCTTCCGTTCGATATCAACGGGGGAGGAACATCCTTTGTCTCATGGATCTCGTGTGGTGGGTGGTAGAGCCGCTTGCAGCGAAGCTCAGTTCATCAAAATTGCCGTTGCTGTCTTCGATGATCGCCTCGCAGTCTATATTGCCGGGCTCGATGAAATGAGGGGCCCGTGCTGGTCGCTGCACGTCTTAAGTTGGCAACGACCTAGTCAAGCTGATGTGGGTGTCTTCTGTCTTTCGCTGTCGGTTTGATTTGAGCATTTAACAGGACTTATGTGTTATCGGCGACGGAACTGAGTTGCTGGACATACGTTTTCTTGTGAAGGAGAAGCTTATAGCTCTTTCGACAGATGGTCATATACACCTCTACGACACTGAGGATCCGTCAAAGGCGCCGCGGCTTCATGCAAGATTCATGATGCCCGTCCATGGCAAGTTGGGCGTATTCGATCACCCATCAAATTTTCATAGTGCCACGAGCTGTGCAGACCTCGCGGTACCAGTCGACCATTGGATCTGGGCAACAAACCCTGCAGATCGAGTCATATCAGTGACATGGGCCGATCCTTCGTCGATGTATATCGTATCTGCTCACATATTTTTCATGGACGTTCCTTCGACATGGTTTGACGCGACGTCAGAAGATGGACGGTCAGTCAAATGGTCATCATGGGGTCCACAAAACTCTCGTCTCGTCCCTGATGAAAGGTTCGGCATGCAAAGGCGGTGCTTTTTTGGAGTGGGTGGATCTCGTGTTATATGGGCTGGTCCTGTCGCGGATCGAAGTGATTCGTCCTTCCAGTTATACATGACTGACTTTAATCCCTCGGTTGTGGCGCGTGGTATCGGCAAGGTGGTTCGCGGACCTACGACATCGGTGGGTCTCCCATCGGACATGCAGGTGTCGACGTACCTCCCTTTCGTGGAGGTGTCCCATGACGAAGCTTTCGATGCCCCTCTTTGGGATATCAAACTCGACGAGGAGACAATGGTGGTGTTCACCTCGACCAACGATTGAGTCTGTGAGTGTATTTCTGTCTGTCTGGCTCACGAAGTTCACTATCTCACTTGATATATCAGGAGTGGAAAATGCAGGCCGACGTCTTTGAAATGTAATTGTGGTCATAAGTGTTTACGAGAGATTGTCTATCATTATGCCATTGAAACCTACCTGTCGCGCACCTTGGTGTATATTAAGAGCCCAATCTCGAGTCATGTATCAGTCGAATATACCATCTCTGTCGACAAACCTATTCAAATTTAAGATGAATTGACTGACTATACTCGAATGCTAAGTGTCGTCCGCTCAATCGCCGCCGCTCTCAGCGTCAACTGCACTCATAGGCCAACCAACTAAATTCAGGTCACAGGCTGTACTGGCAGGTGATGCGCCACTTGATGGAAAATCAGAGTTGGTGCCAGAGGCATTCAAGAAGATAACCATGAGCGTTACCCTATTCGGACGCAAAACGCACCTAGCACTGGTCCTTTGCTCGAAGCTTGCCTTTAAGTTTGAAATACTATCAGCCCTTGAAACGCCATCAGTCCTCGGAACGCTCGCATTTCCACGAGGAAGGCTTAGTTTCTTTTGACCAACACTAGCTGTTTTAGACGCACGCTTCTTGAGATAAGCCGGCTTTGATATGTGCCTGATGAAGATATCTGAAGGGAGTTGACGCGTTCTCGTCTGTGTGAAATAGATATATTCAAAGGAGAAGTGGTCAGTGGTAGAGAAGAGGACCATAGTCTTCGTTTGCCTGATGACTGATCTGATGGATATCGTTGGAGCAAAGCACGTTCCGTTGAACCCGGGAATGTATGCGACCAATCGCGATTCAAAGATAGTGCGTCGTCGTCTCCCTGTCGACGAACCGATTCAAATTAGTCGGCATGGTCGAGTCGGTGGAGTAAATTATGTGCTTACCTCGTAGTCAGTCCTTTTGACCTGAGTCACGACATTTTGAAGGGTCGTCTGGCAACCGGGTAAGCCCTCTCCTCCCAAGTTCCGTTCAACGATGAATGGGAATGATGGTAACCAGTTTGCCTGGGTGGATTTGGAGAGATGTTGAACTCTTGTCAAAATGCAAAGGCATGCTGCTGCTACGGTAATCGCAATGTACTGGTCAAGTTGTGATCAACCAGACGTGTGCATTGTGCAAGCTTGGGGAGCTTCAGTTGAAACCTTGCGGATTGATGATGATTAGTAAGTCGTTACAATTTCATACCTGAGCTAATTGGAGATTGACTGTAATGGTAGAACTCTATCTACAGTCATCAGCGGAAAGAATCTTCAAGTCCCCTCTTGGCGCATTCCCGCTGGCATTTACGTGTCCATCAATGTCGACTCGAGGAGACGCTGGAAATCAGCCATCAGTGTCCTATCGTCTGATGAATCTGTAGCGCGGGGGGATACTGTAACTCTGTAACGTCCATGGAGATCTTGTGACGTGATGCGAGAACTGATCATCGGTTTATAGATCATCAAATACCTCGCCTGCATTGTCAATAGAGATCAGATCAGGGCATCCTATGAGCTTGGTCGAATGCTAGGCGGTGGAGAGGTCATCGGGAAACTTTAAATGTCGTGGGATGAGGTACTCGATCATGGAGATCACCCATTTGGTGAGTGATTTGCTTCTCATTCATGCACATATACTGACATCTCGTAGATCTATTCTTCCCACCCGTGCGCGGTGTCCAACCTTGCGTCACAATGAAGGTTGCCATTGTACATGCTTGCGATGATCAAAACGGCGTACTATTTGATGTGAGTGACCCCGCGTTCTGTCCTGTTAGGTCTTGGTGACGGAACGCCAACTATAGTCCCTCGTAGACTGCGAAATTGCTCGAGACACAGATGCTGGCCACGTACGAGTTGCCAGATACGTGAGACGCGAGAGGGTTTCTTACTTGAACGATGCTATAGAGCATTTTCAGTTGGTTCTGAACCAGTGTCCGGTCGGCCATCCAGACCGCGCAACGGCTCTCACCAACCTCGCGTGGGCCCGCCTTAAAGGCTACATCCGAGAAGATGTTCAAGACATCGATACTACCACTTCCCTCTTCCGCGACGCGCTTGCATTGCGTCCGCAGCACCATCCCGATCATCCCTTATCCCTATATAATCTCACCCAAGCGCTGGCTTGGCGCCACATCGGGAAAGGTACTGCTGCAGACATCTGCGAAGCAGCCCAACTGTATCATGAGCTACTGCCTCTCTGTCCAGAGGGCACGTACCTTCGTAGCATCGCGGCAGGGGAATTTGGTGTTGATTATGTGATCGACGAATGCAACAATCTTCCAACAGACGCATCCGATGCAGGCATCCACCTTCGAAGAGTCGTGCTCGAGCTCTGTCCTCTGGGCCATCGACTTCGTCCTGCAACCCTCGAGGAGCTTGCACTAGCAGTTGAAGCACGGTTTGATGAGCACGGCAGCATCGATGATCTTGACACGAGCATACAGCTTGGTCGTGAAGCCGTGTCTCTGTGTCCCGAGGGACATGCTGGCCGTCATACCTACCTGAACAACCTGGCCTTTTCACTCAGGTCCCGCTTTAGGCACCAAGGCAATCCTAATGACCTCGATGAGGCCATTGCTTTGTATGAAGAAGCACTGCACCTGTGCCCTGTTGGGCACGAATCTCATGATTCCTCATTGGGCAACCTAGGGGGCGCCCTCGTCGACTGTTTCTACGAACGCGGCGATATTGAAGACATGACCCGAGCTATCAGCCTCTATCGCGAGGCCCTGACGTTGCGCCCACCTGGGCATCCTCATCGTGACACCACGCTTCACAACCTTGCCCTCGCGCTCGAAAACAGATATGACAAATTGCAAGTCAGCGAGGATCTCAACGAGGCTATTGATCGGTATCGAGAATCCCTTAGATTAGAGCAGCTCGACCATCCAATGCGCCATAGAACTCTTTGCAATTTCAGCTCGGCGCTCTGCTCTCGTTTCACGGAAACTCAGGAGAATGAAGTTGTTGAGGAGGCCATTGCTATTTGCCAAGAATCATTGCGGGCTCTGTCTTTACTGCACCCGGACAGGTACTTCAGCTACCTTCACCTGCAGAAGGCCTATTTGTCTCGTCACCAGATTCTACACGACCCTACTGATTTGTCTCTTGCAGTGGAGAATTTCAGACTGGCATCAAGGCACCCTGCTCAGAGATTTCCATACCGCATTATAACAGCCCACGGATGGGTCGCCGCTGCGGAGACGCACAGTCATACATCCGCACTGGAGGCCTATCACACATGCTTCGACCTTCTTGACGGTCATTTGGCAACGCGATTATCGACAATTTCACGACGCGAAGCTGCTGCTGCCTTCAATGATATCAGATCGCTGCCTGTAGATGCAGCGTCGTGCGCTATCCGCAATGGCAATCTACGACACGCAGTCGAACTCGCAGAGCAGGGTCGTGGCCAGCAATGGTCGCTGGCATCTCGACTCAGGACTCCAGTTGAAGATATCGAGTCAGCAAATCCGACGCTGGCACACAATTATTTGGAGCTGAGCAAGCGCGTTTCCGATGCCGCACAGAGTTCTGCGGCAATCGGCGACAGAGCTGCTGCTGATCGGGTAGCGATAGAGTACAGGAGACTTACAAGGCAATGGGAAGCTTCCGTGGCTGAGATACGTGATGTTCCGGCGTTCTCGCGGTTTCTGCTCCCACCTTTGTACACAGACCTGCAAGCAGCAGCGCGCCAGGGTCCGGTCATCATCCTCATTGCGAGCCAATACTCACGCAGCGCCATCATCGTCCCGACGTCAGGAGAACCCCATCATGTTCCCTTACCGTCTGTCACTCTCGCAGATCTGACCAATCTCAAGGATCGCTTTACCAGGGCAATACGAGAAGCATCTCAGATGACCCCAAAGCAGTCGAGGACGGATCTAATAGTACTCTTGCGGATACTATGGAACGAGATCATGCTACCCATCGTCAACGTCCTCCGACATGATCTGAGACTAAAATACTGTCGAATCTGGCTGTGTCCAACTGCAGCCTTCACATCTATTCCTCTCCACGCAGCTCACCCGTTTCGAACGAACCAAGATGGCTCTAGGGAGCAATGCCTGGAGGATCTCTATATCTGCTCTTACACGCCCACACTTTCGGCTTTGGTTAGGTCTAGACAGATGATCAAGAAGCGCGTCACTCCATCCTTCGTGACAATCGGACAGGGTCAACCGGGTGCAGGGAAAGGCAAGGCGCTCTTGGCCGTCGACAGCGAGCTCGAGCTTGTCCATAAGCTCGTCCCTGCGACGGCCAAACACACTAGTATTTCTGGGGACGCAGCCACACGAGCAGGTGCGCTCGAAGCTTTGCAGCAGAACACCTGGGTGCACCTAGCTTGTCATGGCAAGCAGGACCCAAAGCAGCCTTACAATTCGCATTTCGTCATGAGAGACGAAAATCTGACGCTGCTCGATATCATGGAGATAGATATTCCGCACGCTGAGTTCGCGTTCTTATCAGCATGTCATACCGCCGTCGGAGATGAGGAGACACCCGACGATGTGATTCACCTCGCAGCTGGTCTTCAGTTTTCGGGGTTCAAGAGCGTCATCGGGACGCTGTGGCAGGTCGACGACTCTGTCGCAAAACACGTCGTCAAAGCCTTCTATGAGAATATGTTCCCAGATTTGAAGGATGGAGGTGTGATGGACTGTACGAAGGCGGCCTGGGCACCGAACCGTGCCACACACGCCGTGAAGACGACAGTGCCGCTGGAGCAGAGGATGGTTTTCGTTCATATTGGTGTGTAGTTCTACTACGTCGTATTGATGTCGTCTGGTACACATTTACCAGCTGTTGATCTGCGATCTGTTGTGAAATGACTCTCATATCATATTCTTGCGCTCTAGCTATCTTATTTTCGTATACCTCGTCGTCTTTTCGTTGACTAGAATGTTCGCTAAAGTTCTTGTGTACTCGACTTGTTCATTCATTGCCTCATCTTCTGCTTGCGTACTTGTAGATAGTGGGAGTCTGGCCAGTCAAGCCTACCAGTCATAATCCCAGAGATCTTTCAAGTTCCCAGCGTTAAGCCTTTCTGCACCGTGCAAATAATTGCATGTAAGACACGGCCGAATTTGAGTCGGTTTGGAGCCGGTTTGATGAACCCAGAAGGAATCTGTCTTCATGATTATGTTGCGGAGCCATATTTGGCTGTGTCTCAGGTGTTAACTGCCTTGACTGCCTTAGTGCTATTTTCAAGTAGTTTAAGGAACAAAAAGGAACCCGGT